CAGGAATGGATCTGTAGAGCAATGAATCTGGGGCTAAAGAACCAACATCCACACTGCATGCACATGGCAGAGGTAGAAAGGGAAGAGTGTGGGGGCTTGAGTTTTACCCTGGCCTTGCTTTTTCAGTCTGTTCCAGTACACTGAATGCTCTTTAGCAGCTGGGGCAAATTAGGTATGTTTTAGAAGTGCATCTTCTAGTGTAGTTTCGTCTGAATACGGTAATCTTGTTGATGTTCTCTGGGACCTTTCTACAATATGAACCTAAGTGCAGTAAAAGGAAATGTTTGAAACTGTCGATTCACAATTGTGCTTCTGAGACTGCAGTATTAATGTAGACTCATCCTTACTGAGTAAAGGTTTTATATGTTATCCAGCACTTCCATACAAAGTTCTAAAGACTGTTACAGAGACAGAAGTATACATACAAGTCTTTGAAACATGAAAAGAAAAATTATGGTTCTTACAGTCTAGCTTATGCCTAGAAGTCATTATCTGTGTATGGATATATACTGAGTAGAGTGGATGGCTTAATAACTAGGTATATAAGCATAATTTTCTGCTGCCTGTGTATTTAGATGTGGAATCTTACCTTTCCATTTAGTATTCATCATAAATTAAAATAAGATGTTGGCAGGAAAAAAATGCTTCCAAGTCTTAACAACTTTACATGTAAAATTAATTTATTGTAATTAATTCTAAGTTTACATTTATAATGTAAAGTTGTTAAGAAGTGGCAGAATTTGTGGCAATTGTAGACACCGTAATTCTAGGTCATTGATCTAAAAAGAACTGGAGAGAAGTGTACCTTTCCTTGCAGTGCTATAGTTTATCTGGGAAGTTTGCATCTTTCTGTGAAGCTAGTTGAGCAGAACATCTGCAATCCATTTCTACCGTGAGGTCTTTTTCTTTGCTGTCAATCTTTTCAGAAAATGATTAAAATTATTATTACAAATATAGTACAGAAATCAAATTACGATCTTTTTTCCTGCTATTGTACCATGTAAGACCTCTAGGCACAGGTCAGGACATTATCTTACTCAGCATGCAACCAAATATCAAGGAGGAAATTCGTACTGCAGGAGATTTGTCTTGCTATGTTACACTTGCTAATTAACGTGTTCTTAATATGTAATCTTAGACTCAGTAAAGTCAAGGTACAGTTCTTGTGCTGGTAAAAGCAGGCCTCACTTAACTCACATTAATTTCAATTAGGTCTACCATTTCATTAAAATCTGGCTGAATTTAACATAGACATTTAGATCCTAATGGAATGTTTATCCAACTCCGCACAATAACACACTGTTAAATAACATGCAAGACAAAGTTTTTCAAGATACATGTAGAGAAACTACAGAAGGGCTGTACATTCAGGATAGCAGTTTTGTTGTTCTTTCATTCTCAGATGTGTGATTTTTATTTTCTGCCAGGTAGCAGAAATAGGCAGTAGGGTACTGCTGGGGCAAAACAGGCAGCTGAGAAGGGATTGGGGCTTATATGGTTGTGTGTTGGGTTTCTGCTACTGAGACATCTGCAGTCATCATCATATGATGGCCTTACCTATTCTGTAAGATGTTACAATTTCCGAACGTTGCCTGCAGATAAAATAAATGACAGTGGTGAATGTACGTTAGTAATCAGTATATGCCAGGTCAGTAGAACTGCATCAGGATGTGGCATCATCGTTATTATAATTATTTATTTATTTAGATTATGAAGGCACCCACAGTTTACTTAGCGCTTTCCAGGCACGCCAGTTGCTTCCAGTGGGAGAGGAGAAAAAAAAGTTTATAATGAATCCATAATCTGAAGAAGTGTTAGAGAAGAAAATTTTAAATTTCATTGATGTATCAGATTACCAGTTTCCAGTGAATGAGACACTCCTATAAAATTCTGCACTGTCATAAACTCCAATACTTCAAAATATTTCTAAACAGTCTCTTTCCAAAAATGCTAGTGATCATATCTTTTGTGTAAGGAAAGGTCTGATTAGATATAGCCATCAAAAATAGTATGAACGTGAAACTCTTGTTGTGGTAAATTTAATTTTAATTTCTAACCACAAGTACAAAATACTCCCAATACAGGTGGTTAGGCATAACTTTTTGAAAGAAATTACGGGAAAGCAATAACTATCTTTGATGATAGTTAGGCAATGATGCAGGCACAATTGTGTTGTACATGTCATAAAATTGTCAATTCAACATGAAAATGTCATAAAAATCCACAGTCTAAGCTACCAGCACAGCAAATATCTTGATTTCCTTTCACTTTTTCTTGTCCTGTCAATACAGAACTTCATTCTTCACTAATCTAGTACTTACCTAAAAGGTTTTCTATCTTACCTAGTCCAGGAAGGATCAAATTAATCTCTGGCATCACTCCTCACTGGATGAAGTAACTCCACAGATAAATTTGACATTTTGTCTTGACATTTGGCATAGCCCACAGTTCTACGTCTGAGAACAAGAACCCATGTCCATATGTGTTATCCAAAAATGTATGTTTGTTAGATAAGCCCATATGCCAGTGAGTGGGTCACAGCTGTGCCAAGTTTTCTTTGAGTAAACACGAAAATACCCAATCTCTCAGTAGCATACAGGATTTCGTTTACAAGTCTGTTACTCTTCTGGAGCTGGAGTAGCTGAGAAAAAGTCAGTTACACTCTTCCCTTTCTACAAGTTTCCTACGAAATACAGGATTAAAATAATTAAACTGGTGCACAAATTGTAGAAGTCTCTGTGCTACATGGGAGAGTGAAGGCTGGGAAGGGGTAATAATCAAGCCCTCACAAAACGTTTCATCAAATGAGGAAGCGCAGTTTGGCATAGAGGAAAATAACTTATGTTAAATGGTTTGGTGGGTTATGAGAGACCCAAGGCTCAGTCAAAGACTTCAGTCTGCCAATCAGCCAAAGAACTACACTGAGTCATGTCTCAAAAGTGACTCGTTTTTCTCCTCATTTAAGTATAAAATGTGTCGCATTTAAAAGTAATTTGTGTAATTGGGTGCCAATTAAACAATTATCTCATTATCTCTTATGAACTAAATAAGATGCTTTGAAATACAAGAAAAATAAATAGAATTATTACAGCTCTGAATTAAAGACTCTACTTTTTTATTACATAAGTAAGTGCTCACAACACACTTGTTCCCTGAGTTCCTAAGGAAGGTCCAGTAATTTATTTCCAAGGTAAGGCATAAAAAGGTTAAAACAGGTCCAGAGGAAAAAGGTGCAAACAACAAAAGTGGAAAAAGAGATGTCTGGACTTAGTCACCTGCATTGCAAAATAGCAGGAAATTTCTTACCTTAGTTTATCCACACAATTTCTGTTTCTGAGAATCATGACAATTCTGAAGGAAGTACTGTGGTTTGTCTCCATGGCAAAATCAGACCAGACTAACTTTCTCACAGTGCTAAATCCTACATACAGTTTTTCACATCAACTTGACTCTTATGAAGGATTTAGGCGCCTAAAAGGTATACAGGCTTCAGAGTGCAAATGGCACTTCTCTGATACCCTTATTGCCTGCTTTCAAACTTAGAGGCAATCCAAATCTGCTTAGCTGGGAGGTAGAATTGAAAGTTCTGCTCTTCAAAAGTCTAATTCTTTTTTTCTTTTCCCTGGATTTTAGCCAATGGTTTTGCAACATGTTATTGTATTGAACAATTTTAGATCAGAGTCTGAAAACTAGGTTTCCTCTTTTCTCAGTGTAGAAGGCTTTTACACCTCACTTAAGAGCTGGGGCGTCTGCTGCGAGGCTACAGAGCCTCTAGGGCTGCTTGGTAGATCTAAGTCTTTGATACAGAACAAAAATTACTTTCATTCCAGAATAATTTTCTATTTTAAATATCTAGGTAGAATTATCTAGTTCTGGAATAAAAGTGACTTCATTTTGCAATGTGCACCTTGGTTACTATTTAGAATAGCTATTGCAGAACAACATATTTCTCTAGAGCTAATCTTGTAAATTTAGCTTTGTGCCCAAGATTATGATCACTCTCTGGCTTACTCTAACTGTATGAAAAAGAAATTGTAAAATAACAGTAATTTTTTTATCAACTATACTAAAGGCATCCTTGCTGAATTTTCATGGATGCCAAATTCCTACTGAATCAGGGTCATGTTTCATTTTTTTCCATTTTCCATGTTCAAATTTTAAATCCATATTTCTACCTTTTTGGTAAGGGTAAGTATCAGTAACTGTGGTTACTGTTACTGATTCCTCCCTTTTTCTATAAAGGGACACAGTCTTAATCAACATAAATTGGGGGGGGAGGGTATTCTGTGTTATTAAATAAAAATAAGGATTTAATAATATTTTTTTTTTAAATCACAGAGTATTAATTCAATATGGACCTGAAATACAGCTCACTTCGTAAAGGAATTTCTGTGAAAATAATGTGTTGCATTTTCAGTTCATCTAGATTGTAGTCTCTATGCTAGCAGCTATGCACTTTGTTTAATTTTGAACTTCCTTCTTGTTTATTCTGGACATGTCAACCTACAGGTCCAAATTTGTAAATAAATGTGTGTTTCTTAAATGTTTTTAAAAGCCCTTATCATAAAACACTGACAACCAACAAAATCGTAATTTAGTGCACTAATGACAAGCCCAAAACACCCTCTTGTTTCAGTGAGGTGAAGAAGTATGCTTAACAGGTTTAATGTCTGTTAATGTGCGAATGGGTTCTGACCTTGCTCTCTCAGTTTTTCCTTGAAATTGTGGCACATATGATATGCCATGTTCCCTAGTAATGTATTTACCATAGATTAACCAGAAGATAATTCTACACTATAATTAAACCATACATTCTCATTTAATTCATTTAAAGGGGTTACTACTAGGCTACCTAAGATCAATCAGGTTTGGCAATTTTCTACCAAATCTGGAAATAAAAGCTTCTTATGGATACAATTTCAGCTTTGTTTTGCATGTGGTGGTTTTGGGGTTTTGTTTTCTGTTTGAGTTTTTACATGATTTTTTCTTTTTATTTTCTTATTTTAAAGAAACTTTGAAAGCATGTTTTCAGCATGGTATTTCTTTTGACTTTCTAGCATGTCATAGAATCTGTTGTAATTTAGCTGTATTTTGTCTTTAATTTTTTGTGTTTTCATAGCATATGTTGATTGATGTGGAGATGTGTCAGCAAATAAGTGTATTTTCTTATTTGTAGCCACAAAAATAAGTGTGTTTAGCTGTATTTTGGGTAGGGTTTTGAGTCAAGTTCTACACTTACTGTTCACATGCAACTTGCGTTAAGCTCATTAGGAGCCTCATGCTTTTGCATGAGATATGATCAGACCTTAAAATGTTCATTCATAGCATATTCTGTTGTGATGCTTGTTATGATTTATAGACTGATTACCTAAGTTCTCCAGCAGTTCTTTTAAAAATTAGCTACTTTTATCTCAATAGAGCACATTTTATATATGTAAAAGATGAAAACATACCAAATGAAACTACTTCATAAATTAACTGCAATACACTGTTTGAAGAAAGTTAATGTGTCCAAGTTAAAGTGCCTAAAATGAGTTGTGGAGAAAGGGGTTATATGCAGTCAAAATTTGCCAATTTCTGAAGTTGTAAGTAGTTCCCTTTTTTTGTTAGAAAAGAAAGTTTTATGTCAAGTTTCATTTTGCACAAACTGTTTAATATGAAGTCTCCCCTTAGGAATGTCAGGTAGCATATAGAGGAGCATATAAACACAAATAGTTTTAAAAAGGGTGGATGTTCAGCATCTTTTAAAAAAAAAAATCCTTCACAGTAAGCTGATTACTGATATTTCTGTTCATGATGCTGGTGATTTAGTTAGGTTCATCATGTAATGAGCAAATCTCATTCTCTTTGGGTTTATGTCCTTTAAGTTTACGTTAGGGTAACTGGACCTTTAGATATCTTCTTAGTTGAGTTTCCAGATGCTGTTTTGTGCATGTCTGAAGTGCCTGTATGTACGAGATTGATTGATAACGATGGTTCTACTGCTGTTACTAATTTGTTTCCCATTTCCAATTGGCTTTTACTTTTTACAGCTTTGAGCAGTAATTCAGTCCCCTACGCCTCCCTGATTGGCTCTGTGTCCTCCCTCTCTAGCCAAACTACCACTCAGTCCTTATATGATAATAACTCTCTCCCACGATTCGCTCGAAAAGGTCTAAACATCTTTGTCTCTATTATTTTCTCTGTTCAAGCACTGTTGTAGATGTACATCAGTCCACCTCCATTTCTGGATCAATCCAGAGTTCTCTTGTGCCTTTTCACTCACATATTTTCCATAGGGGTGCTTGATCTGGATCAATCAGTGTAATTATTAGATGACTGTCACCCACACTGATTTTGAGAATAGCCAAGTTCTATTAAGTGAAATTTCTAAGAAAATGGGAGACAACCAGAACTGATTCAAATAAATTAGTACTTACAGACTAATTTGTTAATTGAAATTTGTAAGAAATCTCCCCATTATATCTGAATATTTTGCTTTGTTAGTTGATTGACAGCTTGCCTTAATATCTACTTTAATTCTCACCATCACAGATGTGCTATGAAGGTAATATATAAATATATATGTATAGGGTCAGAAGAATTAGGGCCAGTGCTGCTGGACATTATTTTGAATAGTATGATGCCTGAAATGACAAAGAGTCAAAAAGAAAACAAGAATTAAAACAAAAATAAAAACAAAAAACCTGCTATAGTGTGACTGTGTAGTAACCACATAGTCATTTTCAGCTACATTTACAGGGAATACAAATTAACTGTATTAGGCATGCTTATGAAATTCATGGTGACAAAGCAAACTGCATTGTGCAACATGGCTTCCAGCTTGAGCCCCCTTGAGTCATCACTGTTTTCCCTCTGTAATTTCAAGAGATCCTGGGGTTCACTAGCTTAATTTTTCTAGCCAGCTCTGATTTCTTCCCACAAGCAATTGAAAGCTCACTTTCATTTTAGGTATGATAGTATAAAGCATGAAGAGAAGAATGTAAGCATTTTGGATAAGGGTCGTGAAGACTAATAGCGTGAAACAAATGTTCACAGATTTTTGCCTGGCAAATCTTCAGCTGGCAGATTGTTCTAGTTGACCCCACATCTTTCTGTCTTTCTTTCGCCTTGCTGTCCCTATACTCCCTTCCACACTCATCACTATCTCTGATTCCCAGCTCTTCTTTTTCACTCAGTATCCTCATCAGTGGACAAAGATGTTTACACCTGAAGTAGATTGTAGGTACTTTTGGGGGTTGATAAATGGGGTTTCAGATTAAGCATATTTTCAGGTACTAGTGCAGTCAGTATGTGTGTCCAGAGAAACTGTACAACCCCTGCCTCTACAATCTGCTACTAGTGAAAACATTTTTGAAGTTCTAGTTGTCTGATGTCCAGTGTTGTCTTCAGTGACTGTTGTCTAAAAGCAATGGTGCATGTTATTCGAACCATTCATAGTTGCATGTCAGTCACCTCAAGATTTCATAAAATATTTAACTATTTCTAATTGATTCAGAATAGGTAGTCAGTCTTCTAGACCTTGATGCATTATTATTAATCCTCAAGCTATCCATTTCATTTTTTTGTAATTTATTTTATAAGTTAGTTTTTATGTTGGTTTGAGGTTTCTTTGTTTTTTGCCATTTCCTTTGCAGGTTCAGGTGTCTCTGGTTACCTTGGTAGCCTTCATTCTTCAAGTTCGTTTTTCTTGATTATGCATGTCACCTTGTTTTCTATCAAAACACTATTCTTTCCCCTTTAGGGCTCTTTCAATGTCTGTTTCTCAGCTCACCTTTCCTCATCTAATTCAGTGGAGTTTCCATCTCATGCAGTGCAGGAGAAGGAGTTTGAAATGACATTAAGAGTCATTGCTCAAAGCAGAGGTCAACATCAGGTCTAACTATCTCATTTTTCCATGCCTAGCTAAACTCATTGACTCATATCACAGTAACTCTTTCCTCTACACTAGGGTTGTTAGCTTTGGGAATATGCTTGGTGACTCCTTTTAATTTGGCTTCAGAGTTCATCTATCCAGAGCATGTCCTGCTTTGAGTAACCGAACTATTTGCCTGCTTCTCTCACATATGACATCTTTACTACTTACACATTTCTAGCCATTCTAACGACTGCATTTTCTAAATTTTAGAGCAATGCCATCACTGTAGTTTACTTTAAATTCTGTTCTTCTTTCTTGTTCAACAGGTATGGCCAGTCATCCCCCAATACCTATCTTGGAACTTGCAGATCACATTGAAAGATTGAAAGCAAATGACAATTTGAAGTTCTCACAGGAGTATGAGGTAATTTTCCTCATTTTCTCATTATTCAGATTGTTTAAAATGTAATGTTTTCTGTTTCCCTAGACTTTTCTCTGATATGTACCCACAGTGATAGTGCCAGTTTTGTATGATATTAAAGCCATGATTAAATAAAAAAGTAATCTGTGTAATATTACTACATTGGTGAGGTGGCTTCTTTGCTTGAAACAATTTATTGTCTTTTTATAAGGATACATGTCCGGCAGATTCCATGGGCACATACCTGAGGTAGTGCATGAATGATGACAGCACTTACTCTTTTTAGTATACCCAAACATCCATGTACTCTGCAGTTAAAAGATCCTTAGGTTATTTAGAAAATCCCCTGTGTAACCTTGGCAGGACACATACAGTGCAAACTCCAAAGAAGTTGCAGTCCACTGTGTTAATTTTGCATGGATTAAAAGAATTTGCAATTGCCTGGTATCTTTCCTAATATAACAGTTTTGAAACATTGTATTTTCCTCCTGTCAATAGTACCACATTGATAATCTGTGAACAATGGCCTATAAGAGCATGGTAGAATTTAACTGGAAGAGAGTAATCATTTGCAAGCCACCTTGTCAGTAATCCATGGAGTATACCTCCCCAGACAGGCATTGGTACTGTGGAGAGTAACAGCCTCTCATGTCAATAACTTGTGGATAAAAATCCATTAAACACAGTAAATTCTAGCTGTTTCTTCAATGCCAATACTGTCTATGTCAAAAGTCTGTGGATAAAGTATGCACTGAACCATCAGAAAACAAATGCTGCTTTAGAGCAGCTATGGGCGGTCATGTCAGTGATCCAAAGATTAACAGCTCCCAGAGGGATCACTGACACAGTATTTTCTTTATAGTCTGTTGTGTCACTAATCCTTGCTTAAAACTCCCCAAGACTTTGTTAGTGTGGTGGAGTAAAAATCCATGTTACTCTCATTTTGTTAGGGACTGCACATTTATTGCATTGGAATGTTCATGTCAACACTGCAATAAAAAATACTGAAGACTTTCACATGTTGGTTCCATACTGACATGTGACTGCATGGTACAGAGATCCTGTAAATGCCCAATGTATTTAAAAAGTCTTGACAGAAAATGAGTACTAACTAATATGATAGAGAACTACAACTGCTTATTATTTAATTGAACATAATGTTCAGAAAGACCTTAAGACTGCTATAAAAAATAATCTCATTAGATGTCAAAAGGAAAATATAGTCTCACCAATTCATGGAAATGAATTTGAAGACCATCTCAGGATTGCTGTTTACTGTTGCAATCACAAAAAAACACAAGAGTACCTTCTCATGTTTCTGTGTGTAAATCCTGTGTTCTTAAGTAAGAAGGTTGTAGCATATAAAGAATCAGACAGGGAAATTTATGGAACAGAATGTTCACCATAGAAAAAGCTAATATTTGGTGCAAATTTGACAATCATTTCTTGTTGTTCTGTGGGAAAATTCCTTGGAATATCTGTGTAGGAATTTCCATTTACTAAATAAAAAGAAAAGTCATTACAAGTCATACAATGTAGTCTAACTTCCATAAAAGTAAACAATACACCTTTGCTATTTATCGTGGATGGATGTTGTGGAGATGACATGGTTCTTATGCTGTAATATGACTTGTTTTGGTGTTTTATATTTCATTTATTATTTAAATCATTAAAATCCTCTTGAGAGTGTAATCTAAACCATTTGTAGTCAGCATTGTGAAGATACATTAAATCATTAAATTCTTAGTATCTGTCCCTCTTTACCAAGCCAAGTAAATAGCCCAGTTTTCACGTTCTTTTTTTTTTACAAAACACACCATCCAGGGCAAAGTGGTCAGACATTCAAGATTAAAATGTGGGCAACTGTAGGTTAACATCAAGCTTCATTCACATTGCTTTGGCCAAGAGGATTCAACATTTATATTTGAAATCCCAGCTTTAGAGATACCAGTTTGTTTCCATCTAGTCCAAGGTTCATCCGTTTTGAAACAGAATTAATGAAAAGCATTGCTATTTGATTTCATGGTCTAGTCTAGCCAGTGAACCAAGGCTACAGTTTGATGATCAGTGTAAGTTATCTCCCTGTCTTGGCTGTGCATTCCTGTTGTCTCTCTTGTGCCAATCCTGGCACTAGCACATGTGCAGCTGTTTGAGGATTATCTCAGGAAATAGATTCAGCTGAAAAACTAATTGTTTTATTTTTCTTTGCTGTTTTCAGTTGGATCAGTTCCCTGAACTAGCTCACCACATGGCTGCATGAGCTGTAACGCCAGCACAAGGGAGCTGGTGGGAACATTTGCGGTCAGGGATTGGGACCTTCTCTTTCAGTTCTCACTAAGGTCCCTTAAAAGCAACTATCTGATTCCAAGGCAGAAATGGGTACAGATGGTAGCAGTTCAATTATTATCACTTCAGATTATGTTTGATCTGGTGACACAGAAGGAAAAGGAGATATTTTTTGTCTTCAAGCGTTGAAGATGTAACATGCAGCAGGAAACCACTGACCTTTATTGATAGTAATAAAGTCTTCCAGTTAATTCCCATTTGGGGAAACAAAACATTTTTCATCACTTACCACTGACGTGATTTTTTTTTTTTTTCATAATGCCCTTTCCTGCTTGGCATTCCATTATTTTCTTTTACTTTTCATGGAATTTCTTATATTATATAGATGAAATTCTTCAAAAATAGACTGATAATGTACAACAACTTGTGATACTATCAAATAATATATATATATATATATGTATATTATACAGTTTCCTAATGAACACTGACTTCTCATCCAGCTTGCAGAATTTATTTCAGGAGGTTAGCTACATTTCAAAAGGATGTTTTAATTATTTTTTAATTATCCCACTTCAATTGCCACTTCAAAAGAATTATTTGTTTCATAACTCAAATGCATCTTTTCATATTATATGTACCTATTTCAGCTCTTCAGAAGTTATTTGAATACTTGGTCCTGTTCTGTTCTTGCTCCTGTTTCATCCACTGCCTTTTGATCAGAATTTCTGATCAAAACTGCATACAAATTTGTTTTTCTCCTTTGGAAGAGTATTGCTTCCTTGCCTGTTACCACTTTCTCTTCAGACAGACAGAAGCCTCCCTGTCTCTTCACTCCTTCCAAAGGACAGAATAAAGTTCTCTCACAGAAAGCACATATCTACATGCTGTTGACTCCTTCGCTGGTTTAAACTCTATGGCATCATTTTCTAATGAAACCCAACTTCTGTGCACCCTCCTAGAGAAGGTAAAAGAAAACTTCTTTGTAGACCTGGACTGTGAGAGAAGACAGGATTGCTTTCTTCAAGTAGTCCCGAACTCAACCCACTATTCTCCTTTCATCGGGCATATGGCTTCCCAAACGGGATTTTTTTGGTGGTTTTGTTTTTTTCTGAGAATATGTTCCTTTTTGTGCTGTGTGAAATCTAGTTGAGAAAGAATCTGAAATTTCCATTAAAGAACTAGTAAGTCCAAACTGCATCCCTGTGCCCTATGGTTCTGAAAGGAATGCCCAGTGTAATGTGTCAAGTTGGGAAAGTAGATATTGCAAAAAAGTAAGTAGCAATATGCATACTATAAAAAAAAAAAAAAACAAAAAAAAAAAAAGCAAAAAGTAGAACTCCTTCATTGCTATGATATGATAAAAGCAGTGTATCCTCCAGTGTAGACCATCTTCCAGCTATGTAACGATTTCTAAGCTTCAGTGTTGTCAGTTGCAAGGATTCCTGCTTCTACAAGTCTTTAGAAACTATTTCACAGTGTCTTCTTCAGGCTTTCCTCTACCCTAGCTCTTACAGGGGATTATCATGAGAACAATGGAGACTTCTATCATTATACTTCTCTCACAACTTTACCTTGAATACCAGATTTCATGGGAGAACACAGCCAAGCCTTAAAGTTTATAAGTATTGCAAGATTTAAAGAAAGTTATACTTCACCTGTTGGATAAAATCATTTTGTAGTTTTACCATATATAGTGCTATGTCCTCTCCTCAATAAAATTCATTTCCACCTTAAAATACATTTTTCATAGTCCTTTGTTAATTATTATTAGCTTGTGATCCCCAAGCCTTAGCACAATGTTGGTTTGTTTACCTTGTTAACATAACATATCCTTTGTGTCACATTCCCTAATTTAAAAGACAAGGTTCTTGACCCCAATTGATTATTGTGAAGCTTTTGCTGACTTTGGCAGTTTCAGTGGGATTTTTATGTAATGTAAGGCTCCATATGGACTTGACAGCTGCTAAGCAACAAGCCATATTCGTAAAAAACTGACCTTTATATCGTATCTCCTTCTTAACTCAGGCTTCAGAATTTAACAATAAAAAGTGGTCATTGAGATAGACTGAATCAGAACAGTAATGTTCTGCCTACTTTATGCAATACACTAAATGTATTTGTAAAGTTATTTCCTCCTATACTATAGAACAGGAATATAATATATTCCTCCAAAGCAGATTCCTGGGTCTTGTGTAAAAGAGTTTCACATTTGTTATCTGAGATCTGTAGTCATAGCTTTACACCCTTAAAGAATTAGATTCAGATTCATGCCACTTTTGTGTTAGAATGTGTCACTGCAACACAAAAATTAGTACATTCTGTATGTGTTATTGTCGTATTTACTGTGTATGTGTGTGTGTGCACTGGTTAACTAATGTTACAAAAAGTTGTATACAATTTTAATGTTTTTCCTAGCCAGTCTTTTGCTTTAACACTGAGTGTTGGAAAAGATGAAGATGCATTTTGTCTCTGTGCCACACTGCTGTATTATTATAAGTTTTATCATAGCTTCTCAGTATCAGTAGGTAGGATTTCTGATGAGAGGACAATTTACTGAATATAGGGCATTTATCTTTTTGTATCTCAAGCTGCAACAAGATAAACACTGGACACAAAACCATAATAAATTTTATATAGTAGAAGCACATATAAAACCTATTTATATAAACCACTTTCAAAGTCTATGCAGAACAGATAACCTACTAAATGAATTT